GCCACCCGCACGTACACACACACAGACACCGATCCCTCCTTTCTGGAAGGGATTATTTTTATCATTTTAAATATAGCATGCTGATTTCTCCTTTGACCCATAGAGGGGGCTTTTCTTCAAGGGATCTTGTTTCCCAGCATTTTGCTTGGGAGTAAAGGAGCATATAGAGCATATATATGTATCTACATAAGCATATATGTATACATATATGCACAATGCACATGCACACACATATATATGCCACAACTGTGCTCTTGTCCCTGCTGAGCTTTCAGAGCTCTCTCTGAACAAGCTGAGCTGTCACCCTCCCTGTGCTGGTACACCATCAATGGCTTTGAGAAATGAGACTGGAGGCATTTGGGGCTTATTTGCTTTTCTTTCTGGCTGAATGAGAGCTGTGCTGTTTGTGTTGCAGCTTTGGCATCAGTCTGACTTGCGGGGAGTCAGAAGATCCTCCCGCGGATGTAGCCATTGAACTGAAAGCTGTGTTTACAGACAGACAGTTTGTCAGAAACTCTTGTGTAGCTGGAGAATGGGGGGAAGAGCAGTCGTCTATTCCTTACTTTCCATTTATACCGGACCAGCCTTTTAGGGTGAGTACCAGGATGACAGCGGTTTATACTGTACCTGATAAAGTGCAATTTGATCTGAGTTGCAGCAGAACCTGACTTGCCTTTCATGCAATCACAGTGTAGCCTGCACTTCTCTGGTTGAGACACCAGTTGCTGGTTTGTTTGTATCCATCAAAAGTTGTGTGGAGATCCCACTGCTACGTGCAGCTGCAGGCAGTTCAGATGGGGTTATGAACACCTCACTTGGGTGCTATGACAAGTCGGAGGTTATAATACTGTGTGATGAAGCACAACTTCCTGAGCTTAGTTTTATAGCTATAAATTAAAAAATACCTCTATGTTATTAGTGCATTACAAGTTATTACTGGTGAATGTAAATACTCGGTGTGACTGCTGTATGTTTTGATGGGTTTTTTAATGGACGGTGTTTGCAGTTGAGTGCAGCTAATGAGGATCTTGTTCATCCTTTGTCTCCAGGGATGTTATGCTGAGGTTGACCGTAGCCCTTCGTGTTAGCAGATTAAACAGCTAAGCAGTAGCGGTATTCTTTTCTGAACCCTGGGATTAAACCTCCCATTAAACTGAAGTCTGCAGTCACTTGAAAATGGTGTACATGGAAATGCTGAGGTGCTGTGGATGGACTGGGTTGACCTAGAAGCAGATTCCCATCTGTAGTGTTTATGGTTACGTGAAGATGTCTTTGCAAATCAGGGCTAACAAAGTATGCGGCTGCAGAGGGCTGGTTCTCCCTCAGCAGCTTCGCTACACTGAGGGAAAAACTGCATGCCTTTTCCATGCAGCTGACCCAGAAAAACCTTCCTCCTTCTCCCCACCCCTCTTATAAAACCTCACTGGCCCCCCTGCTAAATGCCAGTGCTCTGACCAGCTGCCAAACTCCTAATCCTTCTTGCCCCCAAGATAATCTCCCCCAACCCCAAAAGCTCACCATCTTCCCAGATGCTTGGGCTTTAAGAGGGTGTTTATGACTGGTTTTACTGCAAATTGGTTGCGCTCTACTTGCTTCTACAAACTCTCCCATCAGAACTGGCAACACCCTTTGGTGGTGTGGGAAATGCACTTGAAAAGGCTCAGAGGCTGGGTCCTGCTCCAGCTGAGAGGGTTCCACTGCCTGCTGCAGTGGGTGGTGACTGGGCCCTCAGAGGAGCCAGACAAATTACCCAGAGCATGTTTTGTGGGTGTCCCACTAATGACAGTTGACATTAGAGGACAGCAATATCGCATGTTTAGCATGAGCTACTGTAGAAAGGGAGTTGTTCTTTTTCCTTGTTTTTTTCCCAAATGCCCAAATGGAATTTAGGCTCCTGATTGACTTTGTACCTTTGATGGTCTCCCTCTCAGTCAGTAAATTAGACTATTAAGTGTTCTTGCCAGTTACTTGTGACCCAGTCCAGTTGTCATTCTGGCATGGCCCCAGGTGATCTGGAAATGCAGACCGTGAGCAGTGTTGAGGCAAACCATATCTTTTACATAACAAGGCCTCAGGCTGGCTGCCCCTGCCGCAGTGACACAGGAGCTACGTGGCAGCAGGGGTGCTTCCTTGGTGTGTGGAGCACTACCAGGTGCCCGGGAGTTTAAGCTCTCCCAGACTGTCTGCTGCCACTACTCCCAATGCAATGTGCTCTATGTCAATTGGGTTTTGGCTCAGTCAGTTTGTCACTGGCCCAGTTCCCATTTTTATATTCTATAATAGCAGCAGAGTCAAGTGCCTGAGAACAGCACTTCACTCCGGACTACCAGCCTCTTGAAATGTCCCAGGATTTACGTGTGGCTTCCCTGCAGATTTTCTTCTTAGCCTGTCCAGACCTAGATGTCTCCAAGGGCCTGTACAAGACACACATTCTGTGTCCTCATGTCTCTGCTTCCTATTGGGGCAGCTGCAGCAAAGCTTAACAACAGGGCACCCCTAACTTCAGCAATCTCCCAACCTATCCAAGCTTGTTCATCTCCAGGCTTTGTTGCCTTTCCAGACAATTTCTGCACGTCCCTCAGGAGGAGGGGTGAGCCTTGTCCCTCCTTGATCCTGTTTGTGCCTTGTGCAAACTGTCTAGCTGAATTCTAGCAATCCTGCACCATCTTTTCTTCACTGCAGCCCCAGGATGGAGTCTGGTCTGACAGGGAGTCCTGGGCTGTCTGCAGCCACAGGAGTGGAGACTTTTAATTTTGCAGCAGCTCTGTATGTATGGGAGGGGAGGGCAAACCTATCTCCCTGCTTCATGTTCACTCCGTTCCAGTAAGTTAACAGTAGTGTGGAAAGCATTGCAGAGGGAACTGCCCCCTTATTCTGCAGCCAAAACAAACAAACGAAAAAAGATTCTGTTTCAAAGAATGCAAGATTTGGGTTGGAGGTGCAATTTCTTCCTGCTGTAATTTGCAATTTGAGTCTGTTTCTGGCATTATTCCAAGAGATGAAACCTCCCAGTAGCCAGTGGGACTGGGTTCCAGCATGCTCACTGCTACACCAGTGTGAGATAGGATTAATGTCCCTGTGCAGTAAGAGCAGATCTGTCATAGTGTAACTGGTGTCAAGGGGGCAAACTGGTTTCAGCCTTGGCTGTTCTGTGGCACGTAAGTAGCACAATGTGTAACTGCACCAATACTATTTAGAGTCCTCTTTGTCTGCTGTGAAATAACTTTCCAGTTACACTGTGAACAGTGTGCTTCAACATTTTATCTTTTACAGGTTGAGATACTTTGCGAGCATCCCCGTTTTAGAATATTTGTGGATGGACATCAGCTCTTTGATTTTTACCACCGTATTGAAACACTGTCAGCAATTGACACAATAAAGATAAATGGAGATCTTCAGCTTACAAAACTTGGCTGAGCCTGTTAGGACTGCAGATTCCAAACGGGCTCAGGTGCCATCGTCTGTTTGGAGCAGTGACAGCCGGCTCTGGACACAGCCATGGTAGGAAGGCTGCCCTGTTCCTTTTCCGCATGCAGTTCTTCACTCCTGTGCCGATGAACGGGGCTGGTTTTTATCCTAATGAAGAGCACTGTTGGTTAATAGACATTGAGCCGTTTTTCTTGGATCAAAATAGCCCACCTGTGCTGGATAATCAAATTGGAATGGATTCAGAAAGACTTGCAGTCTTGTTTCAAATCTCACAGAAAGGCAATTTCTGAAACACAGCGCCTCAAACTGGTTACTGAACAGTAGTGACAACAAAACCAAGTTTTTCTTTTGCAAATATTGTTTCTGCACTGAAGTGGAGTAGTGTAGCACAACATAGGGCCACGTGCTGACGTCCTTACCTGGGGCCTGAGCCTGGTTCCATGGAAATCAATGGCAAAACTCCCACTCACTTTAACGGGGTACAATGAAACTGTCTAGTCCTTAGTCAAGCACAATTCCCACTGATTTCTATGGCATTTTTGCACACACCTTGGGGCCTCCTCTTCTGCTGGTGAAAATCAGCATTGCTTCCATAGCTTGTAATGGAATTTTGCAAATTGCTCCCAGCCACTGGTTTGGCCCAAGGACTGTGCAAAAACTGACTGAGGGTGTGCGGACACAGCCTGTGTATTTTAGTCAGGGTATTTGCATAGAATGTAGGTCGTTATGAGTTTTTGCACAACGTATTGTTAATACAATTTTTAAAGCTTATCTGTAGTTTATTTATTTATACTCATTGTATGTATTATTAGTAAAACCGAACAATCTTCCTGACAGTTAAGAACAGCAGAGTGTAAACATTTTGAATGTACACAACGTCTTAGCTTCTTTGGGTAACCTTTACATATCGTTCTCGAAAAACTGTGTTTCCTATCAAGCATTTAGTTACATTTTAATGGAGCCCTCTAGGCCCTGGGAAAACATGGGCATGGTAGTTGGTGGGGGTGGGGGGAACTGCATATTCACTAGAATCTGTTTTTCAGGGCTTACTAACTTTGCTGCACAGGATAGGTTTGAGTTGAAGTCAATCCATTTAAAACACCTAAACAGCAAATTTGTAGGTTTAACCGTGCTTTTATTACCTGAGAAAAGGTTAAATTTAACAATCTCTTAGTTCAGAAAGAGAGCCAGCCTCTTTCCAAGGGAGTTGGGAGATTCTTTGCACTTGTTTGAGAACGTATTCGGTCTTTGATATGACAATTAAAACTTGTCTAGACAGCCAAGTTATTAATGCTTGAAAATCAGCTACTGCACATGAATAATAACTTTTCAAGTAGCTTTTTAAGTACTAGGTATAGCTGTATAAACACAGTCATTGCGCTACACTGTAAATGAACACAGCCACTTTTCTGGACTTCTCTAGGACTAAATACACTTTTTTTCCTTGACTGCTCACAATGGACTGTACTGGGTCTTTCTGAGTAGTTACAATCATGATATAAACATACATTTAGGCAATTTTGAAAACACATAGAGACTAAAACAGAGACTATAAAAACACCCTTTGTCGCATAGTATTTTTTAAAAAAAGCGAGAGAGAAGAGTCTCACAAACAAAACTATGTTAAACCTGCAATAAAACTGTGGTTTAAAGCAACCAGAACTGGAATATCCAAAGTTAAGGGTAGAATGCCAAAGCAAAGCCTCATTTTGTGCTAATTTGGCCTGCAGTTAAGAAGCCTTAGACTGCAAGCTGAAATTCCAACTGTGGCTCTAGTCCAAAGCCTGTTGAGGTCAATCAGAGTCCTCAGAGCATAGAAGCCTGATTCTTATTTCATGCAAGTGCAAATCTCTTTGTAAAGCTGGGGGGTTGCTGCTGCTGCTGCAGATGAATTAAGGATCAGGCTGCCACCTAGAAAGAACAGAAGTTAAAAATTGAATTTTTAGCCTTAACATCTGACATTCTCTGACTTTTCTTCCTACTTCCAAATTGAGAGAGAACCTGTTGATTTCCAGATGATCTTTTTTTATCTGGTGAGTGGCTTTTAAGCTGTACATCAGATTCTATTTGTACTCCAGATTGAATTGAAATGTTCCTGTCTTGCTCTGTTTTTACTCTTTTACATGATACATGATGACTGTGTCATTTTCCATTGTATAAAGAATGCTGACAGTGTTTCGGTACAAAATATATTCTTAAAAATGGTGATAATAAAAATCCAAGGGAAAGGTGCTTCTACATGAGGTGTTTTGGATTTTTCTCCAGCTTGGAAATGCTCTATGGTTCCAAAGCTGATGCAGATCAGTTCTATTTGGAGAGGTATCTAGCACCCTCTGTGCTTTCTTCAACTAGATATCTAAAGCCAGGTTTGCTGATGCAGGGCCAGTGCCTGGGGCTGATGTGCTGTGCCAGTGGGCCAGAAGTAGGAGGCTGGAGAGAGTAAGTAGCACCATGACCCTACAGTAGCACAAACCCAAAAGGAATCTCCCTGACAGCACACCAGTAGAGATTTCCCCTCCATGCCTTTACCGTATCCCAGAAAAAGCAATTTGGCTGCCTTGAATTTTCACCGCCCTCACACTTTTGCACTCCTGCATGGGCTCGACACAGCACAGTGCCTACACCAGGGATGCTGAGATGAACTCAGCACACCACAATGTCAGCAGCATCTCTGGTAGGAGTAAGGATTGCCTTGCTTCTGTTTTTGCCCTCTGTGCTGGGCACTCCCATTTGTTCCTACTCCAGGAGTTTTCTGCTGGGAAAAACGCTTTTTTGACCTTGATTCTGGTTTTGCCTTCACATAACTCCACCAACCACAGCACCCACCACCTGATCCTGCCCTGCTGTGGTTTCTGAGACAGGCTTCGAGGCAAGAAGGGTTTTGAACCCACTTGTGATGGGTTGTGGTTTGGCTGAGAGCTCGGGAAAGGGCAGAAAGTCACAGTTAAGGCTTCCACATCTATCTATCACCTGTTTGGAAGCCTTTTATTTTTCTTTTGCTCTAGGGCAGTACCAGGCTATGATAGGTGAAAGAAGGATGATGTGTATGTAACCAAGGGCTGTTCCACCACGCACGCTTGGCTGATCACGTTAAGAAGCAGAACATGTTGCATGTGCAGTGTAAGTCAGAGAAAAGTGAAGTCTTGTTTATTTCTGTTCAGTTGGACCTTGATCCAAATCCAAATGTTTAAGATGGGAGACTGCACTGTAAAATTTGTATCTGGGGTTTTTTTTGTCTCCACAATTTAGGGATTATTCAGATCTTCATTTTGAGTATAAATCCTACTGGATGTGAAATAAAGACTGTTGCCAAATCAGGTCAGGTTTACAAAATGTTTTTCAGTAGGGACAAGTAGCCTGTGAGCTTCTTGGAAGCTGCAATTCTTCAGGGCTCCAGGAGTGTGTCAGCCAACTTTTAAAACCTTGTGCTAAAATTTGTTAGCTGAATATTTCTGTGGTTTCCTCTGAATGAGGAAGTTGATTCTGAAATAAAAAAAAAAAGTCTTGAATGGGTAAAACCCATGGGCGTTGGAATCACTCAACTTAGCATAGCTTTATTTTTTCCAAAGAGAAAAAAAGAAAAAACAACAACAAAAACCCAAACCAAAAAACCCCACCAAAAACCAGAAAGCCCACAACCAAATAATTCAGTTATGTTTGGCATTGGCTGTGATAAAGCTGATTTTATTAAAAAAACCCAACAAACTAGGCTATTGCCTACTCAGAAAGAGCCTTGAAATATTTCAGTGTCATGTGAGTTAGTCTGTGTCTAAACATATTTCACATAAACACTTTTCCACAGGCAAGTTGTGAAAAAGGTTACAAAATACCTTCTTTTTGTGTCACAATTAGAACTGTTTGCCCCACCTTGAAAGAACATTTTGTACTAAATACTCATATGTTATGTATGTGAAATTGCACTAACATATTATCTTCTCCCTCTCTTCCTTGACTAGTTTTGAGCAGAAATAGGCGTAATATTGCTAAACCGGTTGATATCTGCTTGAGGCATAGCATCTTTCTCAAGGAGTGTTTTGAGTAAACAGCCTGAAAACTAAAGGGAGAGCCTGATTCACCATTCTCCTGTGCCAGCTTTCCACCCCTGTCACTCTCCTGCTGTGTGAGCCTGAGACTGAAGCCCAGAGATTTTCATATAGGGAGCAGCACTGAGATTTTTATATTGGGGATTTAAAACTCTTCACTGTGGAGGAAAGAATACCAGAGTAGTCACAATATGCTTCAGCTTGGTTGTAGGGTTGGGATAGCATGATGTGCTGTAGTCCTAACAGAGCAGGAGTTCAGAGGACATTAGTGGGCATTTCAGAGCCAGCCAAGAGCACAGGCTGTGGAGATGCAGGGCAGCTTCCCAGGGAGGGGCTTTTGCCACATTTTCAGCTGCCACCTTCTGCAACCCCCTACCAGGACACGTGGCAGAAAACCAGCATTGCTTACAAGTTTGGAAGGCATGAATGGGTTCATGTTCCTACTCACCTGCTTTAAAAGAGGCTCCCAAATAAATAATAGGTAAATTTAGGAGTAGCCATATCACTAAGGTACTTTTTTCCCCCCACAGATGTTCAAGTAGCAGATCTGATGTGGGGCTCATTTTGCCTCCCATCCACCAGAAGTGCTTCTCACAAAAAAACTCCTGCACTGTTTTCTGCATTGAGTGAGTCTTGAGAGACCTTTCCATGCAGAAAACTGCAGAACCACAATTCTGCTGAGCCAGTTAGCAACCTCCCAACACCCCTGGAATTGACATTACAAGAAACAAGAGTCAGGCTGAGGGCAGCCACAAATGCTCATTGTGAAATGCACAGAAATTAGGAAGAAAAGCTACATCAGTCTAGAAATATTGACCTGGTGAGGGTTTTCTGTAATCCTGGCTATTGTTCTGATTTTCTCACATGGATCAGAATGCATACAGGTGAAAGTCGCTGTGCAATGTATGGTGTGTGGAGTTAGAACCAAGGCCAACCCAAACACAGAGTAAAAATAAGCCGTGGACACTTTACCTGGCTTTGATACACCCTGGCAGCTCCTCCCAGCAATCACTACAACAAGGAGACTCAGCAGCATGTGCAAGATCAAAATAATAAACTCCTACTCTGCCACAGGCCCTCCCTAGCTCCTGTTGCTAGGCCTCTACATCTGTCTGTCAACAAATAACAATGTCCTGCTGCTTTTAAAATCCATGTCAAAAATCCCTTTGACTTTCATGGAAATAGGTCCATAAGAAAAGGGTTATTTCTAGCTCTCACTCTCCAGTTATTTTCATCTGGGCCATACTCTAAAACTGAGTTTATTTTTAAGTGTGAATAGAGGACTATTTCTGACTGCATTATACACTGGATAGAGTCAATAAGAAGCACAGCCTCCCTCTGCTGCAGGAACACCAGTTTCACAGTTCACCAATCAAATGTCTTATATTCATTACCTTCTGATTTTTAAAAATGAGAGTGTGCACAAAACGACCAGGCAATAACAGTAATATGTGTCATTCACCACAAATCTATTTTTATGTGTTGTGCTGATTTCATAATGAACTTTTAATAACAATAAAATGTGAAGTCTTCAGTAGGTTGTTCTGTCTTTTTTCTGAATGATTAGTTCTCATTACACACTCTCTTGACTCCTTTGGCTTCTGGCTTTTTTATCTTCTGACTGTTTTTCAGGTGTAGCTCCTTCCCTCATAAAACTGTAGCATGAAACTTTAGAATGAGATGTGCAGCTTTGGTAGCAGCTTGTGTAAAACTGCTTTACAGTTTAAAGGCACTATACAGAGCAATTACATAACTTCATTAGAGGAAAGAACAGCTTGCTGACTCCTGCAATACTCCCACTGACATCACTGGGCAGTGTAAGCCTCAGGAGTTAACAGGCACGACTCAGACTTCACGATCAGGCCCCGAGACACAGGTCACCAATCACTTTTGCATAGAATAAAACATCAGTGTAACTCACACACCTTTCAGCTCACTCTGGTGGAAATGGATTCATAGGTGAGTGTTACATTGTGTTTAAAACCACCAGATCGGCTCCAGAGGCACATTATTATGAGATACAGTCTTTCATTTGTTAGCATCATCTTACCTGAAGTTCACATTGGCCTGATTCATTGGATCTGGTGCTGGAAGACATGGTTTAGGGGTTATAGTGGAGTGGCAGGTTAATGGTTGGACTTGATGATCTTTGAGGTCTCAAATCTTGATGATTCTATGATTCTGTGATGAAGTTCAAGAGGAACCTTTAAGGTCTCAGCTTCTTTCAGTCAAAGTTATGTGAAAAAATCTGCATGACCTAAGTGGGAAACGATTATGCCCTGCGTCCACTTGTGACTGTAAAAAACAAGTGAGGTTTCTGAGAGAAACCTCAAAATCCAAAGAGCACTAAGGCAGCTGATGAACAGGATTTGAATACAG